ATATATATATATATATATATATAAACCAATATTTGTGTGTGATGCTAATGCTTTGAAATTATTTGTGAGTTTGTGCACTTCACAATAAGTGCCTATGTAGAGTGTTTCTTATTGGCCACTTATAAGGGTTAAATTTCAGTTTGGATGCTCCCTAAGAAGGCAGCAGTTGTTTTCTCCTAACAAATGGATCAGCATTGGATCAGTTATAAACAGCGCGTGATGCAATCCATGCAGCTCGGCCTATAATGCAGAGTAAGAAGACCTTCGCTTGTGTGCTGTGTCCCGCAGGTGCCGGAGGCTGGTCTCCGCTGGACTCTAATAAGTACCAGTGGCTGGAAATCAAGCTGGAGCAGCGGACGGAGATTACAGCCATCTCCACCCAGGGCCGATACGGCAGCTCTGATTGGCTCACACGCTACCTCCTGATGTTCAGTGACACGGGCCATAATTGGAGGCCGTACCGACAGGAGGATAGCATCGGGGTAAGGCTTGAACTCCTCACCTGAGATGGAGGAAAACATGCTCTGATGAGAGAAAATGCTACGCAGCGCTTGAGTATAGTAAGTGCTGTTGTCTGTGAAGAAGTCGCCGTCACACTGAGCGACTAGGATGTTGTTTATTGCCTCAAAACGTCCCTCTTTCCGTCTCTGTGATCTTCTGGTCTGCAGATATGAGTCTCCAGATTGGCCAAGTTAGTGTTTAGCTGGTTTTGCTGGTTGTTCAGCTTGTGTCTTAGCCTGACCGGCTAACAGGTAGATTATATATTTTATATATATATATATATATATATATATATTTGTTTGTTTGTTTGTTTGTTTGTTTGTTTGTTTGTTTGATTTATTTTTTATTTATTCATTTAAATATAAAATGTATTTATTTATTTATTTATGTATTTAATATAAATTTACAATTATACATATAATTTTCGTGTGTGCAATCTTAGATATTTTATCATTGTAATTTTATTATAATTAAATTTATTTATTAATTTATTTATTTAACAAACATTTAAAAATATGAATCTAATTCTCTTCCTTCAATGTGTAATCTTAAATCAGATTTAGGTTCCTCCTGCTCTCCAGTGAGTTCAGCACTAGCTAAGTGTGTTATTGAAATGAGCTTGTTAAGTGTGTGAGGGTTTATTTAGTTCTCACACTCAGAGAATAGATGCTAATTGAGTTTCAGATCTTTTCTCGTCTTCACGTTTGTTTGCCGAAATGCCATGCCGTCTGTTCTGTGTGCTTTGTACTTATCGATTCATCAAACTAGTGTTCTTCAAGAAGCTGATTTACATTTGATGACCAAACTCAGTAACAAAATTCAGTTTTGTGCAGAAATGAACAAAAATGTCATTTAACGTCAACAACAAAAATATTATTATTTTTTATATATTTGAGGAGCTTATGCTCACCAAGGCTGCATTTATTTGATCAAAAATACAGTAAAATCTGTAAAATCGTGAAATATTATTACAATTTAAAACAGCTGTTTTCTATGTGAATATCTGTTAAACTGTAATTTATTCCTGTGGTCAAAGCTGTATTTTCAGCATCATTACTCCAGTCTTCAGCATCACATGATCTTCAGAAATCATTCTAATATGCTGATTTGCTGCTCAAGAAACATTTCTGATTATTATCAATGTTGAACACAGTTGTGCTGCACAATATTTTTGAGAAAACCGTGATACATTTTATTTTTCAGGTTTATTTGATGAATTGAACGTTCAAAAGAGCAGCATTCATTTGAAATATCAATATTTTGTAACATTATAAATGTCTTGACTGACACTTTTGATCAGTTTACTGTATCCCTGCTGGATAAAAGTATTCATTTCCTTCAAAAAAAAAATCATACCCCAAATTTGTTTACATGACTGTATGATTAGTTGCATGTTATTATTAACATTCAGTGCTGTTTTTTCCTGACCCATCAGAACAGACCCGAGACTCATTTTTGCGTCTCGATCCGTCATCAGTATGCAGTGAGAAACGCTAGTCACGACTCCGTCTGTCACGAGAAGCGTTTAGAGTTGAAGACGTGAGCGCCTGTGTTTTTTCCTCTCGTGAGAGCGAGAGCTTGTCGCTCCTGACGCTGGAGGATTTGCACCTTGACTCTTGATGTATTTCACAGGCCACTTTAGAGCAAATGAGATGCGTCTCCTCAGCAGGA